AGCGCTGACTTCTCTCCCTCATTGAATTGCTATGGCAAACAGGAGAGAAATCCGAGCTTGGCCGACAAGAGCGGTGTTGAATCGATCGATCGATCGATCGATCGATCGAACGACTGGTACGGAGGTAAGCATACCTATAATCAAGAGTGTTATTGAAGGTGCAGATTCGAAAGCCATCCCTCATTGAATTTCTATGGACCACAGGAAGGCAGTCAGATCTTGGCCGTCAACAGGTGAGATGTTTTAGATATTCGAATCGATCGATCGCACCTCTATTATCTCTGTTATCCAAGTCTCACTCAAGCCGGTTGACTCTGGTACAGATTCGAAAGCCATCCCTCATTGAATCCTATGGACCATGGGATGGCTGTCAGTTCTCGGCCCATTATGGCCAAGTTGGTGCAATTTGAAAAGCAAGGGTAAGTCGCCGGTCGTCTGCAGTTGAGCACAGAAAACAAAACTCATATCTATTTATTGTTTTCTCTGCTGCACTGCTGACGGCCGATGAATTACCATTGCGTCGAGTCCTTTTTGAACGAACGCTCCGGAGAACAAGAAGAGGAGAGGCTACCACTACGGAGGAGTCTGTTAACTCCAGCCCTACCAACAGCATGGACGGATCGTCGTCAAGTCATTGAATGGCAACAAGAGGAGGAGGCTACTACGCGACAACACACAAGAGAGTGGATCCTCCTACAGGATTCACCCCTCCAGTGTTCTCTCCTAGTGATTTGGTGGTGATTCCTGTGTCGGCATCCATTTTCCTGCATGCACAAGTCCTCGAGCGACGCGACAACCGGCAACGGAGTGTAGCCAGCAAAGCGGAACCTGAGTGTGTTCGGTACTGTTGACACTGTCGCCGATGTAACTGCACGGTAGCCGGCTACAATGGCTGGATTAACAATATTCGATTTTGTGCATGTATTCGTCATAAGGATCCAATGCAAGGTAGCCGAGTGCAGCGAGCAAAAGCCGAACCTGAGTGTGTTCGGTACTGTTGCCACTGTCACCGATCGATGAACTCTATGGTAGCTAGCTATGATGGCTGGATTGACAATATTCGGTTGTGCATGTATTCGTCATAAGGATCCAATACGAGGTACTTGTACCGGAGAGTAGCGAGCAAAGCCGAACATGAGTGTGTTCGGTACTGTTGCCACTGTCGCCGATGTAACTATACGGCAGCCGGCTACAATGGCTGGATTGACAATATTCGGTTGTGCATGTATTCGTCATAAGGATCTAATACGAGGTACTTGTACCGGAGAGTAGCGAGCAAAGCCGAACCTGAGTGTGTTCGGTACTGTTGCCACTGTCGCCGATGTAACTATACGGCAGCCGGCTACAATGGCTAGATTGACAGTATTCGGTTGTGCATGTATTCGTCATAAGGATCCAATGCGAAGTAACTGAGTGTAGGGAGCTGGAACTAAGGAATCAAGAGACGAACGCTGAAAAAAACCGAATACCGTGTGAGTACCGGTTTGCCAGGTAGTCCCGTTAACTCGGTGAGTTAGAGTTGGGGATTCGTTGGGTGACTGACGTTTTCGGCAGCTCGGCAGGCTCAAACGTTCTGATTGGTCCTACGCGAAAACCATTTCCATGAAAGCTACGGTACCGCGAATTGAGAATGGGAAATCAATGGTTCGCCGTACCGCAGCTTTCATGGAAATGGAGGGAAAGCAAGCCGCTTTTTGCCGTTATCTTGATTTCACGTACGTACGGAGGAAGAAAGAGGTGCAAATAGCCGGTTAGGACCAACTCTGAGCCTCGCAGACCACCTTCATGTTTTCGTCCTTGCTCATCTTCCCATCACTGAAAGCCTGGAATGCCTCGCTAAAATCAGCTGTAAGGGTACCGTCTCCGTGCTCATCTCATAAGGTACGACGGCAGCGTGATCAACTAACTAAGATGGGGATAGGGATACTAGCTAGCCCGAAGAGCTGACAATAGCTACGTGCACATGGTAGGAATCTGGTCTGAACTTAGTGGTCCAACCTGAGAAACACTGAACTTAGTGGTCCAACCCGAGAAACACTGCTTTTTATGTCGCAGGAGAACATGGGCAATCACACCCACAAAGTGCATCGGAGCAGTCAAACTTCACTCTGTCATTGCGGCAAGCTGATTCTGGTATTGTGCCGGTCACGCCAGCACTTCCAACCAGGTTCAACGATGACAGCTGCACCACAAGATCCGGTGGAAGTGTTCCTGTCATCCTTGGTAAATTGGAGAGATCCAGCTCGGATAGCTTTGCGGCATTGCCTAGCTCCGGAGGAATCGTGCCAGAAAGATCTTTGTTGTTGGCTAGGGAAAGAATGGTCAGGCCACGAAAGGTACCAAATTCACTTGGGATCCCTCGTGACAGTTCATTATCGTTCAAGCCCAGCCTCCAGAGGCTCTGCAATTGGGCAAGCTCGGAAGGAATCTGGCCTGTCAATCGATTGTCAAACAACCTCAGGTCGAACAACCATGATAGACGCCCTAACTCTATTGGAATTGATCCAGATAGTTGATTGCTCGTCAGTGTCAATTCTTCCAATTGGGTCAACAAGCCAACTTCGGTCGGCAGTGCACCTGTCAGTCCATTCATTGACAAAATCAAACGGTTCAACAAGGACAATCGCCCTAGTTCGGAAGGTATGGGACCAGTGAGCTGATTGCCCTCAAAAATTAAAGCAGTCAAGGCAGTCAGTTGTCCCAGTTCAGAAGGCAAGTTGCCAGAAAAGTGATTGGATGCCAAGTGCAATGTGTCTAGCAAGGTCAATTGGCTCAACTCTTGCCATGGAAGAAAATCGTCAAGTGGCATTTGCATGTCAAATCCCAAAGTGATCTTTTCCAACGACGACAAGAGGGCAATTTCCGTGGGTATGACGGCGACCGTCGTTAGTTCGGGTTGCAACGAATCCAGATTCAGAGAGGTGAATGCACCCAACTCATTGCAACTGGAATGGCGTTTTGACGCCGCGTACCAATCACACTCGTCCTCTGCGTAGTCCAACCAATTGTTGCGATCCCACAGTAGCAACGGCCAATGTTCCCCATCAAAGGCATAGTAAAACACCGCCAAACCACGTAGCTGGTCTCGTTTCCATTTTGGAAGACTGTTGTAGCGGGGATAGCTGTTCAGCCATGCCTGTGCCTTGGCCTGAGGAGACGATGAATCCATGGGAGAAGCAGCAGTCAACGGAGGTGTCGTTGGTGATAGTGGAGTCGTATCAGTGTTCTCCTCTTCCTTGTTATTGGATTGTGTTGCAATCACTCCAATGATTATTGCTATCGTGACCAACAGGAGAGCGAATCCCATACTATAGAGAAGTCTCCGTTGTTTGCCTTCTGCGGCCAGTTTCATCATGTGGTTTTGCTTCAGGTTTGCCTCTCTGTCACTTGCATCCTCTGTGCAGGATGCCGGAGGACAGAACGATTGCTGTGATGGTTCGGCTAGTGGCTCACACTGTGCCGTCATGATGGCCACACTGGAAGTTTTATCCTCACAAGTACTCTCGTCCATTGTCTGAAGAACGCCGGATTCTTCATCATCAGGAGGAGGAGTAACAGCCGGAGATGGCGACACAGTATGGATGCCAGTACTTGGATTGACAGTGGTTACTCTTCCGCTGGATGGGCCGCCGAGTTCCTTTTTCAGTATGCTGGTTTCATCAGGAGTAGAATCCGGAGGTGGCTTCTCATGGATGCCAGTACTTGTATTGCCCATGGAGCCTTTTCGACTGGATGGGCCGCCGAGTTCCTTTTTCAGTTCGGTGGCTTTGGATTGCTGTTGCGGTTGTTCCGTCTGCAAATGCAGGATGTGTTCCGCCTGCCCTGGTGGGATGTGTTCGGATGCTCGTTGCCGTGCTTCGAGCTCGGGTCGTCTGGTCAGAACGTCGAAGAAGGCAGAGCTTCCGTCACCCGCAAACAAATTGGAGGCTGACTGTGATTGTGGTTCTGGCAGTCCATAGCTGCGGCGACTGGTTCTGACACTGGATCTGCGGAACTCTGCTTGTTGTTGCGGTACGGTTCTCAAATCACTACTACTCGCAGTGTTTGCAGGGTCATTCTGCGGGTCGGTGGTTGCTTCGAGAGCGCCATCTTCCAGGGCTCGAATTTCCTCCGCTTCAATCTCTTCTCGTCTTGTCAGGATATCTCGAAACACCGTGCTATTACTACCATCACGGAGGCTTTCGGATGCGTCTTGTGCTAGAGACGGCCGGTGGCGGCCGCTGGCTCTGATTGTCATCGTGGTAGCTGATTTTCCAAATGAAGTTATGAATGTGCTCATGCGAGGCTGTTGTTGCCCCTGATGGAAGACGCACCATGCACGGAACCGGCGACTATCCAACGCAGTCTTTCTTGCCTGTCTTTTTTTTTTTTTAGCTGCTTTCGGCAAGCCTGTGCCATCTCCAACTTCCGCACGTACGGTAGAAACTCCCCTGCTCTACTCCGGTAGACCCCCTCTCCCACGACCGAGAGTGCACAAGAGGTCATACGGTCAGACTGCACAATCCGGTAGAAGGGGGTTTTGGTGTACTGTAGACTTGTCACAATGGAAGCCGCAGAAGGCCAGCGCTTTTGGAAAAAGAACAGCGGAAATCAGGACTTATCATTATTAGAAACAGGCGCTGGCTAGTGGTTACGGGTGTAGATTCACGGTTCACGTCATTAGGGGGGACAAACTGGGGACACTGTACTCTGAATGTCCTATACTGTATGCCCCCTAGATAGCGCTACCGGTTTATCAGAGAGAGTCTAAGTGGTGACTGTATTATGATAACGTATCTATTTAGTATTTATTTTCTTCCTATGATTAATAATAGTAGTAGTCTATGTGCCTTATCTTTGGTGAAAGCATCGAGGTGTTTGAATATCCTGAACAGAAAGTTGGTTTATTGAAACTTCTTTCGTCATCTGCCTGAATGTTTTCAATCGAATGATCACAAACCTATCTTCCTCTGGTGGAAAAAAGGCTGGCATTCCAAGGCGTGCGGAGAAAAGGTGAGGGGATCAGAAGGCGGGTATCAGGCCATTTGGGTACGCCACTGCAGCCATCTAGCAGAGCTACCGGTAGCTAGTACGTAGTAAAGGCATTGGGAATGAAAGGGTGTGGTCACTGCGGTGAAGTTTACATGCTTTCGTTCAAATTTCTTAGGCTCTCATCAGACGGTTGATCTCACGGAACCGCCGGCTGCTGTACCAGTGCATGTTGGTCTAGCTAGCTGCCCTACCGTATGTTAAAATACCAGGTAGGGCCGGAAAGTCCACTCCAATTGATTTTGACCGTTTCGAAGGTGTGAAATTGGGTCATTAGTGTGAAATGGAAGCTAGATTATCGACAACACATTTACATGTAATAGCTAGATTGAAACTATTAATAGAAAAGTGAAATTGAAAATGCAGTTTCACGATTTGTGAAGTAGGTTTCCGGACGCTGAATTTGACCCTTTATATCCTACGGTAATGCCCCCAGCAGTCTTCCGTAGAAAGTGCCCTGTTGCAATGGCCAGACCCCCCCCCCCAAACATAAGTTACGGCCAGTACCGTAGCATACCGGTAGCCCCCCGAAAAATTCTAAAAATAGAAATGGCCAGAAAGATCCAATCCATTCCCGTCTGTTTTAAAAATTAAGAATGAAGATTTGAATCTTCGAGAAAATTGCCACGGTTCAAAACAAGAGCGCATCATCGTGGTGCTACACTCAAGGCACCACCACCACAACAACTTCGAAGTTGCCGTACTTCCTCAATTCCTTGTTGTAGGGTAGAGTAGCTTTTTGTTGGATGCTTGGAAAACCATGGCTTCCTCCGCCGACAATAGTAATGAAGACGAAACTGAAGTTTGGTATGCCATCCCTAGCAAGGAAGATGATCAAGAATACTACCACAACCCTGTCACTGGAGAATCCACTTGGGTGCTGCCTTCTTCGGATGATCCTCTGTTGAAACAGTCTGAGGATTGTGATTCCTCTGGGTCTATTCGCTCGGAAGAAGTAAATAATGGGGAAAAGGATAATGAAGAAGAGTCTGCTCGGAATGGGAGTTCAGATGACGACGACTTGTCCATGTCATCTCAAGCTGAGCGACAGAAAAAGCGAATGGCAGTCATCTTTTGCATCCTCTTTTCCTTGCTGTTTGTCATGTTCGGCTCCCTTTCAAGCAGCAACAACGACAACAGCCCCAGTGATGTTCTTCAAAAGCAAAAGAAACACATACTCTCCAACAATGCTGATGAGGAAGGTTCATATTCGTCGGCGGCAGACGTGACCGTGGACAAGGAGATGGAAGACATTGCCAATGATACCCAAAATGAGCTTGTTGAAACAGAACAATCTGCAAATAAGGCATCACCAAATGATGGCAGTATGGAAAGTATAACAGAGGCAAAAGACGTCAAGCACAAGGCTCCAGATGTCACAGCAGAAATGCAAACAGAGGCAGTTTCGTCAGACAAATACAATCAAGAAAGGAAAGATTCTACACAACAAGCAGATACATCAGACACTGAACTAGAAAATCCCCCTGATGAAATGCTTGTGGGTGATCAGCAGCAGGTTTTCGGAGAAGAAGGCTCGGACGAAAACCAAATGGATGGGTCGTCCCACGGTTATGTCAATGAGCAGTTGGATGGCTCAGTAAACGATGACTTGGTGGATGCTGTCAATGAAACATGTGCAACAGATTCCGTCGATGCTTGTACCACCAATAGCTTTGATGAATCATCAAAGATAGACACTGACTCAGCTGGTTTGGAAGCTGAGAAAGATGCAGCCGAGACAACAACAAACACAGAGACGGATGAAGACAAGACATCCACAGCCGAAGCGATAACAACCCATGAAGACCAAGATGAGAAAGATACATTCCAGGCAGCCACAAACCACGAGGACAAAGGTGTCGAACCTGATCTTGATAAGAAAGTGGATGATACAAGTATTAAAAGGCTGCAAGAAGAACTGCAACACACAAGTCCTCTTCCAGAGGATGCTGCCAAAAACAGCAATGACGAAGAGACGATTTCGGGAGACGAAGCCATGCATACCTTGGAAGCGGAGGGATTCGATGCTGGAGGTGTCCAAGATGATTTGATCATACTCAATGTCAATGACTCGGATGAGCCTACTGCAGACGACAATGAACCTCTTGAAGAAGGATCACAAGAAGCAACCATGGAAACAGAGACGTCCACCGCGGCGATCGCTGCCAACAGAGTCTCTACGGAGGTGGTAGAAAGTTCTGACCTGATGGGCGAAAGCCTCAGGGATCAGTCCACTGATTTGGAAGAACCAGCATCTACAGTGGAGGGCAAGAATGGACCACGAGCTCTTGATCAGACAATGGCAGAAGAAGCCAGGGATAATATTACTGAATCCATTGAGGAGCAAATGAATCTTCTAACAGATGAAAATCAAGAGATGCCAGGGGAGGCAGTCACCGGAAATACAATCCCTGAGTCTGCGAACGATCAAACGAGTCATGTACCGGTAGAAGACACAACAGGAGAATCTGGGGTAGTAGATGACTCGATCGCTGCGTCCGCGGATGATCAAACGAGTACCGTAGACAACAAACCTGCTTCTATCGAGCCAATTCAACTGGATTGGGATACAATTCGCAAAGCAACAAACATACCGTCCAGGCCAGATGATCATTCAAGTACAGGGACAATATCATATCCAGTGGGAGTGGGGGAAGCCATGCTAATGAGACTGGAAATAGAACTGGATGACGTCGGATATAAAATCAAGCAGGGAACAGACTCGGTTTCTCTAGTTGAAAAAGAAACACTGGCCAGGCCAGCAACACGAGGCAGAGAAAAGGATAAATGGCTGAATCGAGTATGCAGGTTGCCACTTGGGCGAAAGATCATAAGGAAATGCCAAAGGTTCTATCCTTCAATGAAAGCGAAAGCTGAACGATCGTAAATGAGTAGGTACCTCAAAACACACTAGTGAAGAAAGATCTACCTAGTTGCAGTGCTTTCTACAATGTTGCAGCTACTTTTTTATGGAACCGATCGCTTGGCCAAAAAGTGCAGTACCGAGGGGAAGTTGGCAAGCAAGGAGGTGGAGATCACTAGTCGGGTATCTGGTCCTCTAGCTAGCCAGTAGTACAGACATGAGGAATCAAAAGGAGCGGTGGAATTTACACGCTTTCGTTTGCAGTTGGTCCTCGGACGGTGCGTGCACTGATTTGATTCACTTGGGGTTTGCTACCGTACAGTCTACGAGTGAGAGTGTAGCTTCATTCCTTTGTCCTGGAATTCAGTGTTGGTCCGGGCTGCAAAGGCTTCTCCATCCCTCTGGCGTTTTCTTTGACTGCCTGTGCCCCCCATCTGATGGCTACCTTTAGAACCGGAGTTCGGGTGTGGAAACCAGCTAGCTACATAGTTAGGAAGGTACAGCACGGAAGACTCGGACAGGGCTACAGTGTGGCTACACTTATTTACTACACTACGTCGTTGCTGTACACTTCTCTGCTGCCTAGTAGTTAGCTAGCTAGTCAGACACTCTTTTGATATATTCATGCTATTGATTCATTTGGCCGATTGTCGTACAGCAAACGGCTCCTACAAACATGCAGGCTCGTGTTGTTGCGGATCTCTACTGCTGGATACAAGACACTCGCCGCCACCATCACCATCCTTCTAGGATTGTGTTGTGTCGCCTTGTTGTTTTTGTAGCATCTTCTCCTCTTTACTTCGTCCTTCAAACAACATGACGCGTGCCATGTCCATAATCAACTTGGTATCGCCATAGACCACTTTCCACATGACGGCTGCCATGATGCCGGCGCCCAACTTGCGCAAGATGCGAGACGGTGGCAATTGCCAGACAATCAAAAAGAGAATTTGTACCAAGAACGTATAGAGGGATATTCGAAAGGATCGAAAGGCACGGGATCGCACGGCCTCGGTTTTTTCAAAAAAGCGAGCAAACGATTGATCCCATCCCATACCGACAGCCGTCCGACCGTAGACAGTCATTAACGAAAAGACAAAGGTGGAATGCAACCCGGTAATCATACCGACGGCCGAAGCGGCAATGCAAATCAAATCCAATCCCATGGTCCACATGCTGGTTGTCGATTGTGCCGCCATGGTCCAATGTTTGCTGAGCAATTCAAAGAATTGAATGGACGACGCCAGTGTCAGAGCACTGACGACGGCATAGACTTCGAGACCGTCCATACGAAAGGCCGCTCGATCCATTTGAATGAGTGACGCTTTTTCTTTGGGAGAAATAAATGGGACGGTGGTGACCAGTGTCTCGTCGGGGGAGGATTTTTGGCTTGGGAGTTTGATGTCCTGTTTGTTGTCGTTATTGTTACTGGAGAATAACGGATTTTTCACTGCTGCCTTTGTGTCTTTCTTCTCCGTGGTATCATTGCTGCTGGTTGGTGGATTGGAAGCTTTGGGTGGTGATGTTGACGATGATGATGATGCTGATGTCGGTGGACTTTGAATATCATTCATCAAAAACTCCATTTGGGCTTGACTCATTAGATCGCCGTCTTGAATGCTTTTATTATTGTTCCTCTGTGGAGATCGGCGATGATGTGTGTAGTCTCGTTGGCCAGCGTTGCCCGTGGAGGACCAGCTGGTGCTACCACTGCTACTACTGCCTTTATTAATGTTATTCGTCGGATCCTTACTGGCGGCTACCAGAACTCGGCTGCTGCACACGGCGTGGGTGGGTAACAGCAATGCGGCATGTTGCAGAGAGCAAAAGGCATGACACCAAGGTATGGCAGCCGCCAACAAAATGGCCAGCACATTCCACAGGGAGCAACGGCGACAGCATGATGTTATCATGGTAGCTTGTACTTTGCTGCTACTCAACAGATGATAGAGTGGCTAGCTAGAGTCCTTTTTTAAAAAATTAACAGGGATCGGGAGTATGATAGGATTCTGATGTGATGGTACCCACAACAAACACACAGTTTGGCGACTTCCAAGAAATGACACGTCTTTTGAAGGCGGACAGCTGGAGAGGTGCGCGGTGACGCGCAAGATGTGTTAAAAGCCAACAGAACTTCTTGTACACAAGGAAGCGAAGTGAGGGCCTGCAGGGTGCCTCAAACTCGAACCACCGTTAGCCCACTCCTCAACTGTGTAGAGTATACCACCTGGGGGTGGAGAAATAAATCTAGTGCCATCTCTAGCCAGCCAACGAAACAGATAGGGAGGTTTAGAGTAGGCAGGTTTAGTGGTTTGCAGCGGATGTAACGCTAAAAGCATGGCTGGGCATGGGATGGAGTTGTTTTTTCTCCACCCCCTGTCTCGCCCATGCTTATTTGCAACCGCCTTTCCCTCGCCACTCTTCACTATCTTCCGCTTTTTTCAGTCACTTTTGGACCCCTTGATTGGTTTCACCTGGGTATACCCCCCTACCACTTTTAAATGATTGAATTGTACCCGCATTGATCAGGAAAGTGGGATAAAAGATAATAATATAAGATAACGTAAGTACAAAGGATTGGTTTGAGGCACCCCCTGCTGTAACCCACTGTACTATGCCGCTGCGTCCTTGTACAAAATATGTAACAACATAAAATTACAGAGTTGTGGAATTGGTGATATCAAAAGAACCATCTTCTCCAACCAAAATGTCAATGGTGATTTCAGAGAAATCCTCTCCAGCTGCCAAAGAATACAGCACTGTTTGGTTGGTGGCTGTCAGAGCCATCCATTCGGCACGCCAGAAACCATTTCTACGTCTGTCAGATACAACCAGTCTGTAGGCTGTGTCAGTGTTGACTGGGAAGAGAGAGGAGTAAAGATAATTCTTAAACTCCAGTGGACCACCTGATTCCAATGTGTCCCAAATACCAGTCACGTCCGTTTCCTTCTGCCAAACCCATGATGTTTCTTTTGAAAATAAAATATCAGTGTGGATATTGAGCATGACATCAGCACCTCTGGTTGGAAATCGTCCAGGCCAATCCGGTGGAGCTTCGTTGAGGTCAGCACAGGTGGAAACAGGGGGAGTATCATTTTGGGAACAATCACACCATAGAAAAGAACAAAGATGCCCTGGGGCAGTTCCTGAGAACTGATTACCATATAGTATCAACCCCATGGAAGGATTCAGCTGGATAGGTAGGGTTCCTGTAAGGTTATTGTTCTGAAGAGCCAGGGATGTCAGTGATGTCAACATTCCAACTGCTGTTGGGATTGTTCCGGTGAACTGGTTGTCATTCAACTGCAGCCTAGTCAAAGCAGTAAATGCTCCAAACTCAGAAGGAACTGGACTGGTCAACTGATTCTGTCCAAGCCAAAGATCTTGCAATGAGGTTAGGTGCCCAAGCTCAGAAGGAAGTGCCCCCGCCAAGCGATTTTCTTTGAACGAAAGCACCATCATGGCCGTCAAGAGGCCAAGATCAGAAGGGACTTGATCAGTGAGCTGATTTTGATCCAACCATAACAATTTCAAAGCAGTCAACATTCCAATCTCAGAAGGAACTGAACCAGTGAACTGATTGTCGCCAAGGTTTAGCAAATGCAACGAGGTCAGGAGACCAAGCTCTGAAGAAATCATGCCGGAACACAGATTCTTTCCAAGCCAAAGGTTTTCCAATGAGGTCAGGAGCCCAAACTCAGACGGTACTGGTCCAGTGAACTGATTCCATCTCAAGTCAAGCCAGGACAAGGAAGTCAATAGTGCAATCTCGGAGGGAATTTGGCCTGAAAACTGATTAAATTCCAGGCGAAGCTGGGACAACGAAGTCAATAGTGAAATCTCAGAGGGAATTTGGCCTGAAAACTGATTGAATTCCAGGCGAAGCTGGGACAAGGAAGTCAATAGTGCAATCTCAGAGGGAATGTTGCCAGTGAACCGATTAAGTCGCAAGTCAAGCTGGGACAATCCAGTCATCTCATAAAGTTCTGTTGGTAACAGAGATGAGATTGGTCCACCAATGTCATTGCGTGGCAAGTCTACAAGAGACAAGGATGTCAAGAGCGCAATCTCTGGTGGTATGGAAGGGAAATGGCCCAGAAGATCCAGACTTTCAAGATTCAGAGATGTGAATTGTCCTTGGCGGTTGCAGGAAGGTGTAACTTGACCAACATTTTCATTAAACTCAAAGTATGTCCCATCCAAGAGAAAATATCCAAACCCACTGGAGAACCAGTCACACTCTTCGACTGTGTCGTGCATCCACCTGTCTCTGATTAAATGGTACCAATGTTCACCCTCAAAGGAGTAAAAGAAGGTAGCAAGAGCAAACAGCTGTGTCTTTCTCCATTCTGGAAGAAAGGTAATGTTTTGGTGATTGGCTAGCCACCACCATGCTTTCCACTGAGGGGTATCACTGCCACTGTTCAAGCTAACTATAGTGTAGTCTGGTAGACTATCCAACATCATGTCCAGAACTCCAGTGGGGGCAGAGGATGGCACTTCAGAGGGTTCCATGGAGTTATAAACTGTTGGAGCCTCTGTTGACGCCTCTGTGGACTCGAGGACAACCACCTTGGGCTCCTTGTTCTTTTTGGTTCCCACCGCGACTCCCACAATAATGGCAGCCACCAGTAACAACAACCCAAGAACAGCTGCCAGTAGAGTTTTCTGCCGCTTCTTCTTTTTTTGGAGCGCACGATGCTTTGCGGCTTCCAGATCGACTGGATTTGCGGATGGCCTTGTTGCATGTTCATCTTCCTTGACCAAGTTTGCCTGTGGCAAGTGATAATAATTATTATTGTTAGCCTCCGTAGCAGGAACCAATGAGTTGATCGTAGCTTTACTCTTGTTGTAGTAGTTGTCATGTTTCCCTTCTTTTGCGGCCTCTTTGCCGTTGGTACGAATATCGAGTACCGGTACCACAGTGTCAACTTTGTCCCTGCGACCAAAGGAATCGTCCAATTTCTTTTCGTTCATGGTACCGTTCCCAGAAGAGACTGCGTGTGGGTTAGTTTTGATGAAATCAATACCTCTGTTTCGTTATTAATGCAATGCCGTAGTAGCAAAAGATTGTGTGCCATTGCAACAACTCCTGTTTGCTGTAGTGCACAACAAAGTGCACAAAGATTTGCCTCGACCGTGTCTCCAAATAAATGTAACGGTAAAAATGTTTGCTTGATGTTGCCGCCTTGTGCCTATTAAAATGCGACGCACACAGGCTCCATTTGAGGAACACGTACCTCACCTCGAGAAAGAAACGTCAACCTCGAATCTGCCGTTGTTTGTTCTTCAATACTCGATCGAGTACAAAACAGTATCTTCGCCTCCTTTGCTATTGCTACCGGTACGGTACCAGCTCCTTCTTTGCTGCTACCCATTAGCATAGCATGCCTGGAGCGTTCTTCCTTCTGAGGCTGTTTGTTCTTTTGGTTGGCATCATTGTGGAAGTTCACGCTCTGCGAATCTGTGGTCAAAATTATTAAGTGATCAAGGCTCCCTCATATAATTGTTTGGAAGAGAACGAGTAGCAGTTTGAATTGAAAGGACAAAATGAAGACTTTCATTCTGATACTTGGCGTACTGCTGCTGATTGCGCAGTCCGGAAGATCCTTTACGACTACTACTAGTCTTATTAATACACGGCAATCTGCGACGCCTCATCATCAGTATGGCCCATTACTATTACCACCATCTTTGAGCGCCATTTCGGCACTGGAAACGGCCGTCGACACTTCCTCCTCCTCGTTTCATAAGGATAATAATGCCGATGATGATGGTGCGGACTATTATCATGACACCGATAATGACGACGACACTGTGAGTTCGGAAACACATCGCATCAATCTGGAATTGGCCAAATTGGCCGTGGCATGTGCCGACAATACGCGTCAGTCCCAACGGTTGGCGTTGGCGGCATTTGATTTGCTAAAGCACAACATGACGCATCCCGATACCGTTGCCTACAATTCCGTCCTGAAAGCATTTGCCAAGTCGGCGCCCAGCAAATTCCCCCCGCCGGCATCCAGTCGCAGTTCCAAATGGGTCTCCGCGGCAGAACGCGCTCATCATTTGCTCGAGGAAATGATGGCGGTCCACAAAGCACAAACAGCGGCATATCAAGACTGGTATATTCGACGCGACAAGCAACAAACCATGTCACAAGCTGAGTTACAGCAAGGACCTCCGAAAATTCGAGTCAAACCCAACGTGCGATCTTTTTCCACCGTCATGGATGCTTACAGTCGCACCGGACAGGTCCCGGAAACACTACAGGTGTTGCAGGAACTCCAAGACCGATACGACGAAACGGGAGATTTTGCCCTGCAACCCAACATTGTTTCCTACAATACCGTTTTAGCGGCTTACGCCAAATCACGAGGAGGACTGCCCGCGGCCGAACAAGCCGAACAATTTTTGGAAGAACAGGTCGTTCAACCCGATGTCGTCTCGTACAATGCTCTGCTGGTTTGTTGGGCGCGATCCGGTGTGCCGCACGCGGGAGAACGGGCCGAAGCCATTTTACGACAAATGCCCGTCACACCCAATACCAAATCCTATGCCACCGCCATGGATGCACTGGCACGGTGTGCCCGGTCCGACTCGTTGTCCGCGGCACGAGCGCACGGATTGTTGAAGGAATTGCAAGAGGCGTTTGAGGAAACGGGCGACGAAGCGCTACGACCCAATTGCATTTCCTATTCGTCCGTCATTCACGCCTATGCCGTTTCCAAAGAACCCCAAAAGGCCCAACGGGCATTTGCCTTGTTGGAAGAAATGAAACAAAAGGGACAGACCGATCCAGCCGTACGGCCCAATACCGTCACGTACAATAGTGTCCTCAATGCCTGTACCACGTCGTCGCCACTGGGAGATCATCATTATGACGGGGGAACCAATCCCAAGTCACTGCAAAGTATCGTGCAGAGTCTGTATCAAGAGTTGATTCAAAGTGACGACCCAAGACTCAAACCGGATCATTTTACCTTTGGCACCGTGTTGAAAGCGTGTGCCAATAACATTTTTTGGGACGATCCCACTTTTGGCATGTACGTCTTTCAAGAAGCCCGTCGACGAGGACAAGTGTCTTTGGGGGTGTTGGTACAGTTGCGGCATGCCGTTCCCATGCACGTTCTGTGCGAATTCATGCCCTCACAGGCGTACGATCGAGAGACACGACAATTCACAATGTCGCACATACCCAAAGCCTGGACGAGAAATGTACGAGAACGTAAAAAGTAGCTACTAGTAATTAAAGGGAATAAAAATGCACATTGTCGAATTTGTATGCATTCGTTTCTAACCGGTAACAACAATACATAACGTCGTACTAGTGAAGATGGCGCCGTAGCATACTTGAGTACGAAGCACCCTGTCTCAAAATGATGGGCAGCCATTCGAGAGCGCCCACTCCACAACATCTTGATGCTTGTAAAATTTTGCCATACGGACAGTCTGAGCATTCCACTGACAGCCATTTGCTCTGGCCCATTGTAACAACTCCAAGTGCCCACCTATAGCTGCATTCGCACAAGTCTGTTCATTCCATGGACAGCCGTTTTCTCTGGCCCATTTTAAGACCTCCATATGGCCACCCAGAGCAGCTTTTCCACAAGTCTCGGCATCCCAAGGGCAACCATTTTCACGGGCAAATTTCATCATTTCCAAATGCCCACAATAAGCCGCCCGCGAACAAGTCATTGCATCCCATGGGCAGCCATTTGCATGGGCCCATTTCAACAACTCAAAATGTCCAAATTGAGCCGCCATCATACAGGTATTTCCATTCCATGGGCAGCCATTTTAACGGGCCCACTTGAGTATTTCCAAACACCCACCCTTGCTGGCAGCATGTGAGCACGTTCGCTCATCCCATGGGCAACCTTTAGCATGGCACCATTTTAACAACTCAAGATGCCCACCCTGAGCAGCTCTCATACATGTGGTAGCATCCCATGGACACCCATTTTCACAGGCCCATTTTAGCAACTTCAAATGACCACCTAGAGCAGCTTGTGCACAAGTCTTGGATCCCATGGACAACCATGTTCACGGGCAAATTCAGCAACTCCAAATGCCCACGCCCTGAGCAGCCCTCATACAAGTGGTAACATCCCATGGACATCCATTTTCACGGGCCCATTTTAGCAGCTTCAAATGCCCGTTTAGAGCAGCATCTGCACAAGTCTGTGCATCCCATGGACAGCCGTTTTCACGGGCAAACTTCAGCAACTCTAAATGTCCACAGCAAGCTGCATTTTTGCATGTCCTACCATCCCATGGGAACCCTTTGTTACGGGCCCATTGAAGAACTGGAATGTTTCCAAGCTTGGCGATGGTTTGGCATGCATGTGGCCGCCGAGGGCATTTAGTAGTGGAGTTGTGGTCACTGAACCAAAACTCTGCTGTGTACTCATTATAGAAAGCGGCACTACAGGTTGTGACTGTGCTAGTTGCTTGGAATTTTGGACCAATCTGGTAATTCTGGACATTTGTGGTTCCTCCACAGAATCACAATACTCCTTGTACAGATGGTTCATCTTCTTGCTGACGGATCCAACAAAGGCATAATGCCCCATGCCCAGAAATGGAAGAATACCGTTGATCCAAACATCTCTTTGATCCAGCAGCAATCTGTCATAATCTTGGGCAGACATGACACGAGAACATGGCTGGGAAAATGGCTGGGGAATAAGAACTTGCTGTTGCGCCGTTGCGGGCACTGCAACCCCCCTAATAATTTAACTGAAGGGGGTTCGTGTGTCTTGCATGGGTTCCGGGGCGCTTTAGACCATACAAGTACGGAACCAGTATGCTCTCATGGTGTAATTTATGTAGAGCTATCTCCTTATCCGTGGCCTCTGGCAACGCGGAACTGACAGCAACATTGATGTTCGTGTCATCAATCTTGATGCTGCTTCTCACTGTTGCAAGGATCCTGACAAGGTCCTTCGCAATGGCGAACGCGACAAGAAAAGCAAGCATCTCGACGCCTGTCTTTCCCAACGCCGCCACTTTACTCCGTTTGTTGTCTCTGCTGATGCTCGCCAAACGTATTTCCGCTTTGCTCGCTGCCAAGTGGGAACACCCTTACTCAGTGGTGCGTGGCTACGTTAATGCTAGGCTCAGCCTAGCTATTCTTTGGGCCCGCCACATCTGCATGCGTGGCTCTCGTGTCCCTGCTGGCACAATGAGCTACCACCGTTCTCTCTGGGATGCCGATGGTGCACCTGCACTCTTCCGCTAATCTTGCCCCCCTTCCCCCTCTCTACTTCCTCGCTTTCCTCATTGTCCTCTTTGCTCTCCCAGTACGTCCCGCCACCGGAGCCACTGCTCTGCCTAGCTTAGTCCCCCTCGCTCCTTCACGTATCTATTTTGTATTGTAGAGCTAGCTAGCTAGAGTATCCATATCTACCATCTTGGGAGTTCCCCACAGCTGTCCAGATGCACAGACCCACTGCATAAAGTAATACCTAGTGTGGGGCAAAATATAGTATGGAGTTGCACTGGGTACGTGTCCAGAAACACTGAGAATGCAGGCCCTCCTCGACTAGTACCAAGCACCCTGTCTCATAATGGGCAACTATGCAAGAGTGCCCACTCCACAACATCTTGGTGCTTGCAAAGTTTGGCCATACGAACAGTGCTTACATCCCAAGGACAGCCATTTGCTCTGGCCCACTGAAGCAATTCCAAGTGCCCACGCATCGCAGCATTTGAACAAGTCTGTTCATTCCATGGACAGCCATTTGCTCTGGCCCATGCTAAAACCTCCAAATGGCCACCAAGAGCAGCTTTTCTGCAAGTCTCAGCATCCCATGGGCAGCCAGTTTTGTGGGCCCATTTCAGCATCTCCAAATGTCCACGATAGGCAGCCTGTGAACAAGTCCTTTCATCCCACGAGCAGCCGTTTTTGCGGGCCCATTTCAACAACTCAAAATGTCCACCATGAGCAGCTACCATGCATGTTTCTGCACTCAATGGGCAGCCATTTTCATGGGCCCACTTCAGAATATCCAAATGCCCGCCTGTGGTAGCAGCGTTTGAACATTTTCGCTCATCCCATGGGCAACCGTTTGCACGGGCCCATTTCAGCATCTCCAAATTCCCATAGCGAGCTGCATTGGCACATGTCCAGAGATTCCATGGGCAGCCATTAGCTCTAGCCCACTTCAGCAACTCCAAATGGCCACCTTGGGCTGCATTTGAACAAGTTACTGCATTCCAAGGACAGTCATATTGATGGGCCCATTTCAGTGTGTCCAAATGCCCACCATAGGCAGCATGTGAACATGTCCGAAAATCCCATGGACAACCATTCGCATGGGCCCATTTCAGTATTTCCAAATGTCCACCTCGAGCAGCACTTGCACAAGTCTCATGATTCCATCGGCAGCCATTTCCGTGGGCCCATTTCAAGACTTCCAGATGCCCATTTTCAGCAGCACGAGCACATGTCCAATAATCCCATGGAAAACCTTTTTCACGGGCCCACTGAAGAACTCTAAGGTTCCCATGCTTGGCGATGACTTGGCATACACTATGACGCTTAGGCATTTTTGTCTTTGGCTTTTTGTCGCTAAGCCATAATTCAGCAGTGGACTCGTTGTAGAAAGCAGCGCCATAGGTTGTGACAGTACCAGTTGCTTGAAATTTGTTACCATTCAGATAATTCTGGACAATTGGTGGATCCTCCACAGAATCACAATACGCCTTGTAGAGATGGTTCATCCGTTTGTTGACGCCTCCAACGAAGGCATAGTGACCCATGCCAACAAAAGGAAGGATGCCATTGATCCAAACGTCTTTTTGATCCAGCAGCGTTCTGTCATTAGATTTAGCACACATGGGACTTGACATGGCTCAACTGAAATGGCTTGCTAATCTAACAAAAGATGTATCTTCGGAGTCCTGCCGCTGAAGTGCTGATCATGCTCGACCTCTTTGTCGTTGGCTTGTCGCTGCTTCGGGAAACTGGGGAGCTTCCGGCTGGTAAAGCAGCTGACTTGAAGATTCGATTCGATTCGATCGCTGCCCCCGTTGTTTTTTTGCCGTTGCTTTCTGGTCCACCATTCGTGCGTCTCTTTCATTCAGAACACGACCGAATGGTCGCGGATTCTGGAAATTCCGGATCTTTGGAGGAATAATGAGGTGTACCACTTCTGCCGATCCTTTCGATGTTCTTTTGAGAAGCAGTTGCTAGTACCGTAAAACAAAGACCCAGTAGTCCTCCCTTCAAGGGCTGACGTACCCTCGACAATCGATCTTCTTCCGTCGGCATCAATCTCTTCCCAGTTTTCTTCGAGTTTGGTTCGTCCATTTTTGTGGAGTCCATCTTTGTCCTCAGTACAAAGTTATTTGCACAGGTTTTGATTGAAGAGTCTGACGGTTTCACCATGGCCCCCAATGGCGTTGATCCCAATGAACCTCGCTCTGTGCGAGCCGAGGAAGTTTATGGTCCATATCCCAAGGTTGGTCTTTCATTGCGTAACATTTTCCTTTTTTCTTGAATCAGGTGACACATCCGTCTAACCGTTGCTATTTTTCCGTTTACCCTGATCTTCTCTTTCCTAATGCCAATGATTCGATTCAACCATTTTCGTGCAATCTTTCTTCGTCCCTTGGCTCACTCACTCTCAACGCACCAAAACACATCTACTCTACCCATGACAATCTATGCTATACTATGCTATGCTTTATTATAGAACTGCATGACTCCTTGGAAAAACTCCCGCGATGAAGGCCGTGAAGGAGATGCCGTCGACGTGGAAAATTTGAAAGAAATTGCCGCCCAAAATTTCATGGAATTGCCGTGCGATTATCGCGACAAGGGGACTCCCGACGATTGGATCCCTCGCGATGGACGCATGGTCCGATTGACGGGTCGTCATCCCTTCAATGCCGAGCCACTCTTGCCGGAATTGACCAAACACAATCCCAAAAATCCATTCTTGTTGCCCGCCAATTTGCACATTATTCGCAACCACGGTACCGTCCCCAAGTTGGACTGGGAGACGCACACCCTCAGCATCGAAGGACCGTTGGTCTCCGACCCCGTCAAACTCTCCATGGACGAATTGACCACGACGTATCCCACTACCGAATTTCCAGTCACTATTTCCTGTTGTGGAAATCGTCGAAAGGAAATGAACATGATCAAACAGACCATTGGATTCAACTGGGGTAGTGCTGCCGCGGGAACCAACGTCTACAAGGGTGTTCTACTTCGTGATTTGCTCAAATCGGTTGGTGTCACGGCCGAATCCGTGGCCGATATGACCGGTTCCTTTGTCGAATTTATTGGCAATGAAGATTTGGGAAACAAATGCGGTGGACCTGGTCCATTTCCCGATGAACCATGGGCGGAAAAGGTCAAGTACGCCACGAGTATCCCTCTGGCCAAATGTCTGGATCCTGCCGATGAAGTCATGGTGGCATTCCAGGCGAATGGACAACGATTGCATCCCGATCGTGGATACCCCATTCGACTGGTCATTCCGGGATACATTGGTGGACGCATGATCAAGTGGTTGACTCGCATCCGTGTCATCCCACATGAATCGCACAGCTGCTATCATTACTGGGACAACAAGTACTTGCCACCTCAAGTCACTGCCGAAGTTGCGGCCAAGGATGGATGGTGGTACAAGCAAGACTACATTATCAATGAACTCAGTCTCAACTCGTTCATCAACAAGCCCGCGCACAATGCCACCATCCCGCTCGCGGCCAATATTGACAAGACCATGGTCGTATCGGGATACGCCCATTCCGGTGGCGGTCGCAAGGTCACACGCGTCGAAGTGAGTTCCGATCTCGGTGTCACTTGGAATTTGGCAGATATTGATCGCAAGGAACAACCCAATCCGTACGGCAAATACTGGTGCTGGGTCTGGTGGTACTACGACTTGCCCGTGGCGCAAATGGGCAAGGAGTTGTGGGTCCGAGCCTGGGATACCTCCAACAGTCCTCAAGCCGAACGTCCCGTGTGGACACTCATGGGACAATCGTCCAATCACGTCTTTCGGGTATTGGTCCACACCGAAACCAGTCCAGATACGGGCAAGGTCGTGTACCGATTCGAGCATCCCACCCAGGCAGGTCAACAGTCGGGAGGATGGGCGACGCGACTTGCCGGAAAGGTCAAGAGTGCTGGATACGGTGAAATCAACTTGGCGTCGTATGTCGATTAGGTGGTACCAGAGAGGAGTTTTTGAGTGAGTGGCGAAGGATCGATGATTGTTGGAAAAGACGAAGTAGGAGAAGACAGCCACCTAATAATGGAGTGGATCTTCAATGGTAGGAGAGAGCAGCGAAAGACGCGCGTGTGGAACGACGCAACACAGAGCTCTTAGGATGAAAGCTGTAGGCGGCGCCTCGTACAAATGGGTAGCCCGTATATAACAAAATTTAGTTTAGTCCATACATTTTCCATGCTTGTGATAGGCTTCGTCCGCCCAACTGGCTCGGCTTCTCCTCGACATGCTGGCTCAGCCTCTCGTTCAAAACGCTACTGAGTAGCTCAAAATTGTAAAGGTCACTGCATCATCGGCTCACCTTCCCCACTTCTAGCTCGATGCACTTGAGTCCACTTGATGAGCTCTCAGGGATCGACCCAAACTGTGCACCATCCAAGCGGCTATGAACAGTGACGAACCAAGGATTAGGGCTCCACTGAGAATGACAAGGAAAATATCTGGGTCAAATGTCCCATCACTTGGTTGTACCACAACTGTCCACTGCCGGTGACCAACCAGCAAGGTTTGCTCAAACTGGAGGCTTGCAGTCTCAAGATTTGCATAGTTGTCAAACTCCTCTGTTGCAAAAGTTAGTTCCTTGCTGCCATCAGAATGAACTTTGATTTTGACTCCACCCATAAACGTGAGATGAGTAGTCTCTGGATCTGGATCCGTTCCTGAGTCGTATAGGTATGCTGCCAGACTTGTAGCCTGAACCGTTGAAGTTCTTTTCAACAAGTGAGTGATCTCCACCACAACTGCAGCCACATCTGGTGATGATTCAGACCCCTCACCATCCATGGTGGTGGGTACTCCAGCACTATACAAAACCACACCCAAGCCATCCTGTGGACGATCACCAACGAGATAAAAGGGTTCAGTCAGAACTGGTTCCCTGGTTTCCAGTGCTCGGTAGATTGTATCTCTCTCCTGCTCTTTACTATACACATCAAGACCCAAAATACCACCCTCCCGCTTGATTGGTGCAATGAAATGAACTGGAAAGTAGAAGGGTTGTTCTGACCGGTAGGTTGCAGTCTCTACTTCGGGATGTGCTGGATCTGCTTCCATTCCCCAGAATCCAGTATAGTTCACAACTGTGTGGTTCTCAAAGTAGGCAGAGGTTTGCTCTTCTATGTCCTCCCTCTCACTGTTTGTGATATTTGGAATCCATTCAATTTGGAAAACATCAAGGCCAGTGGCCACCTGGTAGTTGTAGAGCTGCTGAAATCGTTTGTGGGAGTAGCCATCCTGTCTCCAATTCTGACAAGACTCATGAATCCAAATGGAAGCCATTTCAAAGTCTCTCCATGTGGTGATGATCTCCCCGATGAAATCTCTGGCGCGTTGCTTGAATACCTCCTCTTTCTTTTGGTGTTCCCACTGAATTCCAGTGTACAGAAAGATGATGCTTGCAACAGAACCTACGAGAATCACCAACGCTGCCAGGAACATTGTTTTCTTGGCCATGACGGCAAAGAAGAGGGATGAGATGATACTTGTCCCTTGGGGCATGACATTGGCTTCCACAGCTTCGTCCAGTATTCTGGCACGGATCTCTTCTTCAATGCGAGGCATTTCCTCAGATAGACGACGATCAAGGTTCGCCTCTGTGTCATCACCAATCTCATCGTACACTCTTGCGGCAGTAACCAAGATTTCTTGTTGTCCTCCATGATGCCCTTCATTGTTGGTGGTGTTGGCAGAAGAAGAAGGTGTGTCATCCACCTCATCAAAAGGACCAAGCGGGGAGTTCATGAGGGATGATGCACTTGAGCTCATTCCATCCACTCTGTATGCACCATGACCAGAAGAAGGTTCGTTTTCCGACTGTCCCTGCGGCGTACGAAGAGGAGGGATATCCCTGACAATTGTCGGTGGTGTCTTTCTAACGAATGTTGGTGGAGAGACAGTCGTTCCAACGAGGCGATGTTTTGGATGAATGGCTGCACTAGTAGTAGAATCGTCCCCAGCAGAGGATATAACTTGCCTCATGAACGGATGTGGTTGTGCATCAACTTGTCCAGCCTGCACCTTTTCATCTTCCCCTGACCGATGCTGTGAGCTTGTGCCCATTGTGGCAGCTGCTGTGGCTTCTTCGTCGGTTCTGATGTTGTTGTGGTGGTGGTGGGCTGCAAACTCTGACATTTTTCGATCCTCGCTGGAACTGACAGGCGCCAATGAGGCTCTGCTCGGGTGGGATACCTGCGAATCCAATCCACCCACGCTGTATGCGCCAGGAAGAGTCTGCGTCTGGACCGCTGACTGAGGAGTGATACCCGCGGCGACTGCCGAGCCAACTGGTGGTGGTGGTGGTGGCATCTTTCTGTTTTGGCGCTCTGTATCAGCAGGACCTTTTTGTTGTTGTACTGCAGCATCCAACTCGGTCGATGGCTGACCTGATCTCGGAGCAGGATGTTCCTCAAACTCTTGTTGTATCTCCTCCTTGGTTTCCTCTGAAGGGGCGTCCGAAGACGAGACTGTCGAGGCAATTGTACTAGTTGTTGATGATGGCGTGGGAGTGTCTGCATCTTGATCCTTCTTTGGTTCTTCACCAGTCTCTGTTGTATCCTCTTGTTCCACTTCCTCAGCCTGTTCCTCTTCGTCAGTTCGATGTTGCAAGGTCGTGTCGATCGGTACTCTTCCAACGGTAACATCCTCATCCTCGGGGGACTCCAGTCCCCTCTTGTCGTTGTCTTCCATGATGATCAAACCAATCTATAGCTAGAGAATAAGTGGAGAGTGGATGCAATACCGGTATGCCATTTGACAATAGCGGGAGCATGAGCAGAACACGGCAGCAACCATGGCCACTTCCTGTCGAGGGTGTACAAGCAAAGATGGAAGAAAAGAAGCATCGTGGGAAACTTCCTTCAAGGGCTCGAGAAGCGAGAAGAGCGTGTCCCAGTGTCACTCGAGAATCCAAGTTGGTTGACCACCAACCAAGGTCCTCCGACCGAACCGCACGGAGCAGCTTACGCTGGCTTCAATCCTGGAGTTGACACGGGTCGTGGAACTTGCTGTTCTTCCAACTTTAGAAAAAGGGTTGAAATAAATAAGAAAAGTCCCAGCAAAAGCCAAAGCAACGACCAGGACGACCAGCACCTTCGAAGAATTACGGGGGTTTAGAGTAGGGGAATTATCTAAGTCATAATTGCGAGAGGGGAGAGCTGAGAGCAAATCGAGCGTTCGAAGGTGCGGAGGGATATCAGGATGGCTACAAGTAATGGTGCTGATCGTGGTGAGATGCTACTAGTACCAAGCAGCAGCAGTGACCAACGGCAAGAGCTACAGCAAGGACAGCCAGATGTCGAATTGGCCAGGGACCCACCCAGTGTGATCCATGTTGTCACCAGCAGAGAAGAAGACATGACTTGTGCTTCTTCCGTCACGACGCATTTCCAAAATGCCGATCTATTTGTTCAACACATGTACCCATCAGTTCAGAATTTACACAGCTCTGACAATGTAGAGCATCCCACCTTTGATCCAGTCACACAGCAAGCAAAGCCAGCAGCAACGACACCTTTGGTTTTGCCACCACTTCAGGAAGAATCATCATCCCAAGACCCCACTAACAGCAAGAGAACTATCAAAACCAGCAACCAACAATTTGACAAAGCGACAATCCAATGTAAGGAGCAAGAAGAAACTAGCACACAAGATTTCATAACGGACGTTCCCCCTGTGGCTAGCTTGGAATCCAAAATCAACCAAAAGGCCCAAGTATACACAGTGCAACAAATTTCCTCCAAAACAAGGGGAGATAATGGGACTGATATCAACCCAACCGTTCAAAAGGAACAAAATGAGGAGGAAGCGACCAAGACAATTGATCTACTAGGTGATCACATTCCTAGTTTGGGCGAAAACAAGGATCCACCAGCGTGTAGCACAGACAACAGCAAAAGGGCCATTTCTGCTGGGGTCTCTACTGCTGAGGAGGCCGCTACCACCTTGACCTCGCTAATGTGGATCCAAGAAATGCCAATGCCAATGAATATGCCATCCTCTGATGCTACGAGAAGAACTGTGATGCAGGAGAGCGTCCCAGGAGCACATGCTGTCCAAACACGATCCACCCAACAATCACATCAACCAATAACTACAAACAACAATGTCACTGACGATACTGTTGCAGGAGACAGAGGAGGAAATACTCTACCAACTGCAGAGACATTGGCCGAAGCAACACTGGTTGCCGAAGACAACCTACCCGTTGCCATGGCTGATGATCGCAATAGATACAAGGAGCAAAACAAGAACAACTGGGCATTCCATGTGATGGAAGCGATCTTTTGTATTTTGGTCATGGCGGGCATCATTATTGGGGCAGTATGTGGCACAGGACACTGCAGTCAAAATGTCTATGTGGATGGCAGCACCTTCGCACCCACAACAACAAGAGATGCCGTTGCAGCACCACAAATTGAAGTTGCCTTGAAAAATGTTTTGGGAGGGGATTATTTCGAACAGGTGGAAGAACCTGGAGTACCTGATGATAGCAACCTCAAAAATTTCATGGTCGAAACAAGGCAAAAGGCCTTTGATTGGATAGTCAACCAGGATCCAATGCAGATGGAGTTTGATGCTCCCAACTTGGTTCAGCGTTTTGTGCTGGTGCTTTTCTACTATCAGACAACAAGGCACAAGCCATGGAGAGAGTGCAATCCACCAGCAGCTCCCCATGCGAGTGCCATGTCTGGTTTCTGTTATGAACCTGATCTACATTCTGGTGAGATAACATCAGCCATCTGGGGTGATCTGTGGCTCTCCGCCAGTCATGAATGCCAGTGGGCCGGAGTGACGTGTGAGACTGAATTGTCAGAAGAGAAGACGGTGGTGAGGCTAGGCATTTGTAAGTCTTATAGCCAGCGGTACATGTGGATTGTGTTCTTGATTCTCACAAATTGAGATTCACTCTTCAGCTTGGAATGGGCTCAATGGCCCTCTCCCATGGGAGGTTGCGCATCTATCACAGTTGACCCGACTCACTTTAGAGGACAATGTGCTGACTGGAGTACTGCCGCCAGCACTATTTTCCAACCAAGCAGTCCTTCACTTGGAGTTGCTTGTGTTGAGTTCGAATGAATTCACAGGGACGATCCCCTTAAGATGGTTTGACAATCTCGATGAAGGCACTGCAAAACTTTCCAGCCTTTGGATCTCCTCAAACAGATTGACCGGGACGATTCCCTCTGAAATGGGGTTGCTTCCATTGAAGGAACTTTTTCTGGAAAATAATGATCTGACAGGATCCCTGCCAATGGAGATTTTTCAGCGAGCTTCTGGGGTTGTTAATGAGTTTAGTGATGGTATTGTGAGTTGCAGGGCTGGAATATTTTCAAAGGGCTGACACAATGAGAGTTACACTCATGCTTCCTCCTGTTTTGCTGTTGGTTATTGCAAAAAGCTGGGTGGAATCCATCCTGGTAAAGCTGGACTTGATAGAGCTCTGGAATATCTCGATTTGAGTCATACTGGCATTTCAGGATCCCTGCCCTCTGAGGTTGGTCTGGCAAATTCGTTGACAGAGCTCTATGCATCTGGCACAAATATGAATGGAACGCTCCCTGAAGAACTGTATGGTCTCGGGAATCTCCAGGTCTTGGCCTTTAACGGTTGCAACTTTACTGGGACCATCAGTTCATCCCTGGGTGTATTGACCCGTCTTAGCTGGCTGCACTTAGCCAACAACAACTTCCATGGCACCATTCCCCATGAGATTGAAGCACTGACAATGCTGAGTCAGCTACTGGTGAACGGGAATCAGTTCACTGGGAGTGTCCCTGTTTCCTTTTGCGAAAATAGGTTTGTGGCTCTTCAAGATGTTTCGAAGGTTGTGGCTGACTGCTTGCCCAATGAAGAGACTGGTGTGCCCACAATTGAATGCGCTGCTGATTGCTGTACTAGCTGTTGCGACAATACTGGGGTCTGCCTTTCTAATTAGATTGATTGATTGGTGTAGCTTCTATTGCACGGTTTGACTGGTTCATTGTGGGTTGGTATTGAATCTCCATGGTTATCCATTGGTGGGTATGTAGCCAGGTAGGGGGCCGCAGTGATGGAAGTAGTGCTAGCTAGCTGCTTTGCAAGCTATCCCAAAATTTTGCCGCTATGCATAATGAGAACATCCTCAGTTACTGTCTTGTTCTTCAATAGCTGGTAGCTAGATCTATGGATACTGGCAAACGGGAAGCTCCCGAGGTATGTGTCCCATGGGGCTCTTGCCTAGGAGAGAGCGGAGCAGTACTACCGTATAGCTAGTGGACTGTGGTGTTCCATTAAAAACTTCTTAGACCAGGGCATGAATTGAAGAATCGCCTTGTTCTACACGCAGCAAGCTCTTGCGGATGGACCGCTCACAAACGGACACCCAAGTCTCTGGCAACGAACCAGCTAGCTAAATCTTTTCGTAGAACATGACCCCCTTCAAGGAAAATGTAATTTTTAAGTTACCAGAGATTATGCTAGCCCACCACACTCGGTTGCAAGAAGTCATTGGATGCAGCCGGGATATGGTGATGCTTGAGGATTGAGGCGAAGACGTTGCATTACTTTTGGTGCCATTTGCTTCCAAGAACTCTCCAATCGTGTGTTCCGGCAGCTTCTTGTTGCGGGTGTCTTTCCACACGACAGGTCGCCGGACCCAAGCGTAGTCGGGGGCGTCTCGTCGCCTGTTTCCTAGTACCCCACCTGTGCATAATGCAATACTACCAACTCTGCTACCATCATGATGGTCCTCCCAAGGTATGTGCACCCCATGCAGACTCACGAACCGAGCTCTACATCGCAAGCAGCACTGGACTGGTTGCTAGGAGCATTCCATAAATCCTCCTTTGTCCTACCTTCTGGTGTGCTCTCTTGGTGCATTCTAAGCGATTGCCGCAGACTGTGCACCATCCAAGCAGCCACCAAAAGTGTTGCAGCAAAAATTAAGCTTCCACTGAGAATGACAAATCCAACTTCAGGGTCAAATGTGTCATCAATTGGCTGCACCATAACTGTCCAGTGACGGTGACCAACCAGTAGCTGTTCCTCATACTGAAGGCCCTCACTGCTTGTGCTCCCAAGATGTGCGTGGTTGTCAAGATCCAATGTAGCAAAAGTCAGTTCCTTTGTTCCATCTGGGTTAACTTTGATTTCAACACCACCCATGAAATTGGTTTTGTTGGTCTCTGGATCCTGATCTTTTCCAGCATCATACAAGTACACTGCAAGACTGGTACCTTGAACCCTTGATGTTCGTTCCAGCAGATGGGAGATCTCCACCACCACTGCGGACAAGTCCAATGATGATTGAAGTGACTCATTGCTGGATGTGGGCACTCCTGCACTGTACAAAATCACACCCAAGCCATCGTCTGGACGATCACCAGTGAGATAAAAAGGTGGTGTCAGAACTGGTTCTCTGGTTTCCTTTGCGACATGGATCATGTCTCTTTCATGTTTTTTGCTGTACACATCGAGACCCAGAACACCCCCCTCTCGGCTGATTGGAGCAATAAAGTGAATTGGAAAGTAAAAGGGTTGTTCCGACCTTGGGTGGCTTGCAGTTTGCATTTCTTCTTGCGCATAATCTGGTTCCAGTCCCCAGAATCCAGTATAGTTCACTGTTGGGTGATGATTCTCAATGTAGGCATAGGTTTGTGCTTCCATGCTCTGCCTTTCACTGTGAGTAATATTGGGTATCCATTCAATTTGCAGAAAGTCCAGCCCTGTGGCAGTTAGATAATCGTAGAGTACTTGAAAATCACCATGAGTGTATCCGTCCTCCCTCCACTTGCGACAAGATTCATGTATCCACATGGAAGCCATTTCAAAGTCTCTCCATGTGGCACCAATCTCTCCTACATAATCTCTGGCGCGTTGTTTGAATACCTCTTCTTGCTTGTGTTGTTCCCATTGGATCCCTTTGCACACAAAGCTGGTTGTTGCAATGGCACCCACCAGTACCACGAGACCTGCCAAGAAGATGGTTTTCTTGGCCATGACAGCAAACAAGAGTGAGGAAATGATACTGGTTCCTTGGGGCATGACATTAGCTTCCACAGCTTCATCCATGATTTTGGCTCGAATCTCTTCTTCAATGCGAGGCATTTCCTGGGACAGACGGCGATCCAGGTTTTCGTCCGTGTCAACACTATTCTCGTCATAGACTCTGGCGGCTGTGATTAAGATTTCTTGTTGATCTTCATTGTGTTGTTCTTCATCATTGTTGTTGGCAGAAGAAGGTGGGTCATCCGTGACCTCTGTGGTCGATGCATCTGCCGTCAAAGAGACATTGTTCGTTGGGGAAGATGCCTGGGCATTCCATCCAGCCACGTTGAAAGCGCCAGGACAAGAAGCGGTTCGCTGCCTTTGCTGTTGGTGTTGGTGTTGTGTAGGAGGAATGATATCTGTGGAGACTGTCGAGACAATGGTTGGTGGAGGTGGCAGCTTCATGTCGGGATGTTTTCCTGTAGTGCCAACTTCTTCCTCGTCGCCAGAACCGTCTGTAACGTCCTGATGTTGCAAGATCCTGTCAATCAAGACTTTACGAGCGGCGGCATCGTCCCTTGGGGCTTTCAGTTTACTATCGTTGCTGCTCTTCATGATACAGTACTCAATACAACCTTATTACTGGATTATGATCGACTCTCTTGGCATAACATCTGCATTCACTGGGACGCAACCAAACAGTGGAACATGTGTTTCAATAATGTTCTGCTATTAATATCTGCTTCCCTTCTTTGCGAAAGAAGAAAAACGCAGGATCCTTTAGGATGCGAAAACCGAAATGGTACCGTACGGAAGACGTAGAAGATTTAAGAAACACCTTGATGCGGTAGTACAATCATTAAAGCTTCCTTGAGAACGCTATCGAGTCTTCCAGAGCTCGCTTTGCCCTTCTGCTTCCGTGCGTGGTGGCTGTCAACCCTTCCGCAAGACACGGCGCAGCTGTCAAAAGAATATCGGAGAGGGATCGAGAGATCATTCATTCATTCACATCCATCATTATTAGGAGTTGATGGTTTTGGCGGCATACCAGTTTATGGATGCATGAGATTTGGCGTGAGCAATCCTAGCTAGATCCACAGTTTCTTTTGTTTTGGTGGAAGACGAAAGAAGATATTTGGCAGTCTCTGATCTTCTCACGAAGGCAACTCCAAAATAGTCAGTGCACAACACAACGGATAAAAGTGCCTCAATAGTTTTGTGTGTGTGTGAGCACCATGACGGACTACAGCTTCCACCAACACCATCATCACCAAGAAGAAGAGGAGCCGTTTCAACAACAACAACAGTATCATCAGGATCCATCCTACGACTCTTTGTACGCCCGCATTCACGCGGCACAAGGTCGGTTGCCTTGGACGGTCCTTCGTGCTTCCGCTGGCGCCCCACCGGAACTGTACTATGGCGTCTTGAGTGTGGCCGTGGAAACTCTGGCGCTCCTCTTGTTTGTGGAAGCCGTGCGTCGCAAATTGGATCATGCCGCCGTGGGTCGACCCATTTTCCAAGCCGTCTTGGATGGTGTCTATCGAGAATTGGCCACGCTCGGGATTGTGGAACTCTTTATTCATTTGCTCCACGAGTACTATGACAATCTCGATACGCAAAAGGAAGCCATTTTTGTCGATGTTCATTTTGTCTTTTTCTACTGCGCCATTTTCAATGCCATGCAATCTTCCATTCTCGCATTCTTTGCCCATCGAGTGTCCTACAATACATGGGTCAAAACGGAAGAAGTGGAACTCAATCATTACGTCGAAATCAGAGAGGAGTTGTGAGTGACACACAACACAACACATATTGCTTGCTTTAGAAATGACTCACATTGTCTCTTTCCTCCTCTTTGATCTTGTTTTTCTATTATTGGACAGCGACCAAGTACGATACGAACTCTACGGAGATGATCCACCCTACTCGCTGGGACGAAGTAGTCAACAACCCACAGACAGCGACAACGACCACAACAATAGTGGTCCAAGACGATCCAACATGATTCGAAATCTATCCGAAGGCATTCAACGATCCTCTCTTGACATTAACAATCAAAACAACAACTCACGTAGTAGTAACAATTGCTGGAATTCCCTCAAACTCTTTTGGGTCGGCATCTTTTACACGGTCAAATATCCTCACTTGAAAGCCAAACACGACAAACTACTGGTACAAGTACGATTCCACGAATTGCGCATTCATTTTCTACATGCATACGATTTGCCCGTCAAAGTCAAAATATCCACCTATCTCATGCGCTCCGAACAAGAAGTCATTAAACATCTCATTCATGTTTCCACCATGGCATGGCTCTGGTTGACGGGACTCATTACCTTCATGTACTACATTACAGGAATGGTGACGGATGTCACGCAGGATGCCGGATCGGCCGGAGTTACATTGCCCGTCTTTTTCTTTCTCGGCATGGTCGTGTTCATTCTCGTCAGTTTGCTGGTGCATCGACGCATGCATCAAATATTCATGACCATTATGGAAATGAAACATTTGTGGGATTTTCGAAAGGAAGATCCCATTGCCTCGTCACAAACTGCAGGCGATGAGGATGATGATGTCCAACAATACACGGATCCCACACTGGCATCGGAACAAAAACGACTCTTTTTTCTAGGAGATCCCAAATTGGTCATTATTGCCATTCAATTCATGCAATTCGGGTTCGCCATTGCACTTTCGGTCGTTGTCGTGTACTGGGAAGACATGAACGGGGGTGGAGTCGACGCCCCGGTCTATCTCATTGTGACACTCGTCTGTTATTGTCTCTTTGTGTTCATCATGGCACAAACACTGGTCCGATTCACCATGGCCACTAGTTTGGGACAATTGGTAGATCGCAAACGATTGCATGAAGTCGTGGCATTGTTTCGACTCGAAGAAGCCGAACGACGACGACAGCAACGCAAAGATTTGGATATGAACTTTTTCTTTACTGGACAACAGCAACAGCCATTAGCGCCGTGGAAGCATCGAAAGCACAAGGCGGCCAAAGAAGGAGACGACGACGATCCGTTTGATTTGCAAGAAGCGGCGCCAGCGATTTTGAACGAAGCAGTAGAAGTTCCGCTCCACCAGCAACAACCAGACAAGCCAACCAACGACAATTCATCACCCTTTCTCCCTCTGTCAGACAACACTGCGCTACGAGGAGAACCCTCGGACGATAATATCGCGCCCATGCCGCCATCCGTGGAGACACCAACCCGACCGTCCTTGACAGCAATACCCGAAAAGCAGGGAGCCATACCCACATTTGAACCCGAAAAGGCCAATCTACTGGTAGATCTCGTCAAGATGGACACGAGCTCTTTGCGAAATGCCGTTCCTCTAGAAGATATTCGAAGAGCCGAACGAAGAGATCGTCGGCGGAATCGACGTAAATCCGTCTCGGATGGTGTCGCTCTCATGGCGGCACTTGGAAGTGTCACACCGCCAAGCTTTTTTACTGGCAGCAACAATACTAATGATGCACCCAGCAAGGATGTAGCAGCAGAAGACCCCGAAAGCAAAAAGAGTTCTAGACCAGAAAACATGGCAACTGCTACGACTCCCAAGTTTGCCGTGGACGATTCCGTCCTTCTCAAGAGAAAGGAACGCCGACGGAACTGGAAAAAGAGTGTTTCGGCCAGTGCGGCAATCCAGCAAATGAGAGATTTCGAGGGAGAAAAGCAACCACCACAGGATGCCAACCCGTCAAATGATGTGTGGACCAACAAGATTATTACAACACAACCTCCCAGTCAACCATCAGGGCTCATCTCCAAGATTGCTCCCAAGAAAATGATGTTTTCCCCGAGTAACAGCAACAATCCAACGACCAAGGACGACTCTGTCGTGCCAACACAACAGCGAAAGGACCGTCGTCGTAGACAACGAAAGAAGGCTCTCTCTGCGAGTGCGGCAATACGGCTCATGCGGGAAGGTTCGGATGACGAAGACGAGGAGCGGCTGGCCATGATGGACTTTTGGGGTACGCCCAAAAAACAAGAAACAGTCCCTGAGGATGCCCCTCTGGAGAGTACTGCTGTTCCTAGCAGTAGCCAGGTTGATTCCGTTGGCAATCAAGAGCTTCAGCAATCAGAGCAGCAGATGCAGATGACCCAGCCGCTTCAAGCCGTCGTGAACAACCCGATAGCGCCCCCGAAGAGACAGCCACTCGCGCTAGAGACAGTGAGGGAAGTATCAGGAGATATTTCCGGTCATATGGAGGATGAGTCATTGACTCAAGCCGAATTTTCGGAGCGAAGAGGAGACCCGCTAGCCCTGTCGCCCTCGTCGTCGAATGCCGACCCTCTCCAAAAAAGTGATACGAATGCTGACGACGACGACGAAACCTTAGATACTGATCGATCTGTTGGTGGCCTAAGTCACGTCGGCGATGTCGACGAAATCAATTACCATCAGTATGGTTCGTTTTATGACGACGAAGGCGAGCTATACGGCTTGGCACGGTTGAATCGCTTCAATGATTCGATGCGCAAGTTTTATCTCAGGTGAGTTCCTCTCCGCTACGGTTCCCCCTACGTTGTCGTCATTCTCACACTGGCTCCTGCAACTTCCATCCAGTCGGCGTTATGGTTTCGTTACGCATTTGTTAGGCTCAATGGGTTGTTTCTTCATCATCGGAATGAGGATTGAGGGTTTCCTGAAGCAGAGCTGTATTATCCCTGTTGAAGGTGAGTGTACCAGGCGAGCGGTGGTAGTGACCAACACCAAACGACGAGTCTAACCTTTATGTCCGTCACGTCGAAAGATCATTCCTGGGAGTTTTCCCTCAAAACGTGCTTCGCGCTCGTAACGACGTTTCTGATCTTTTTCCTGGTCGCGTCCGTGTACATGATCATTCTCTTCCCCGCCTACCGTGATGACTGCGAAGTGGATATTATTGGATGCAGCAAACGAGTGCAATGGCTTCGGTTTGTCGCAGCTGTAATCGACATGATCATTTCGTTCACGTGCCTCATGTTGTTCTTCGGTGCAGAAGCTGCACGCTGCTGTAACGGAAACGAATACCCCAGTGAATCGTACTACCCAGACGAACACGGTTATGATGCTGCTAACGATTCAAAATATGGCGACGAAAGCAAAGAGCCATACCAGACAACACACGACAACTACGGTAACCCAGATGACGTCGATCATCGATTTCTTGCAGGGGGCTATGACACGTACGACGAACCCAAAGCGCCTTGTGTTGACAGCACAATTTACTGCAACTGCCCTCGTTTTGGAACGAGGCTGGAAGGTGGGCTTGGAAACATCGAGCCATTCGTTGCTCTGATAGTCTTGCGAATGTTTCGATATATCCTGGCCAAGAAGATTGTCCAGATGTTTGATCTTGGTCTTGTTGTTGGCGATTTGGAGGACAAGGATGACACTAAGAGCAGCAAAAGATCCCATGGCGGCCTCATTAGCGAGCACGGGGGTCATGGCGGGGTGGACAAGCTTAAAAAAGGAACCGTGGTTGAGCTGTGGCAGGCGGCTATCGCTCAGTTCCCAGAGATCGTGGAGGAGCACGGCGAATTCAGCGGCGAGCTGCTTCAGGCTATGCTTGGTGTTGAAGTCGCGAGTCCTCCACTAACGTTGCCGCAACCAGAACCTCATCATGTTCTGGAATCCTCCAGTGTTCCAACCCCAAGTGAAGGCGCCACAAGCGGGATTTTGATGCGGAAAAACTCCTTGCCGTTTTCCGACCACGCTGGCAATGATCATATCACCTTGCAAGAAAAGAAGTACTGCAAGCTCGCACCCGAAGTGCAGGGAATCATTGCTGCCGGGAAGTTAGGTTGTCCGGTGAAGTCCTGTACCGATTTTGCGACACTTTCTCGACCGTCGTCTGTGCCAAGTCTGACCGAGATCGAGCATACAATCGCTGATGCAGGTGCTGGAATAGAATTCCAAAGGGATGTCGCACAAATGGAGTTGGAACAAATGGAATCAACTTTGGCATTCGAGTATCCGAACGATCGGCTGGTCAGATCCATGAGAAGATGCGACAAGAAGCTGTTGCCACTGCTTGACAAGTGGTGCCCTGTAGATGTGTTGCTGACAAAGCACGAGATCGTTTATGTTCAAACACTGGAAACTGACGGCGCTGGTGACAACAATCATACGATCGAGACTGGACGACAGGCTCTGATGGCAACGAAGGGCGGGAAAAATCTTCGTTTGATCGATGTCACGGCTGGCAGACGGGTGATTGGACACATGAAATTGTCGGATATCGTATCTGTTCACGTGGAGAGAGAGCACCGCCGCGAGGGAACGGCTCTAAGAAGTGAACAAGAGGTTACCGAAGATCTCAATCATGGACATATTGAGTTTTGGCAGGATCGACCGGAAGACGACCGCAACGAGTGTGCCGCCGATAACGAAAAGAGATGGAACGCCATCCACCAAGACTCTTTGAAACTTGAAACAATCAGCGGCACCCTGTATCTTCGCTTCTACTCCGATCTGGAGGACAGCGAAGCACATCCAGAGCGAGTGATAGCGGAAATGGACGAGAACAATTCTGTCTACAAGGATACAGCTCTTCAGTGGGCTCAAACCATTGCCCGACAGTGTTGCACCATGACTCAGTTGAAGCAGCCACTTCCGCATTTTGGCGGCGGCAACGATCAAGATGAAATCAAAGACTTCCTTCACATTGTACCGAAACACGAAAAGACTGGGCATCGCCGACGTTTCAATGCTGCAGGCATTCGTGGCCACCGACGACACCGGTCGGTTGGTCAACAACACCGGTTGGTTGGTCAGCAACAGCACAAGCGAGCGACGACTGAGTTGCCCGCTCTCGGTCGCGAAGATTTGGAACATGGCGCAGCTGCTTCTCCAAACGACAAACACCCCTTTCAAAAGGAAGATGACCCTTCTTCTGCGCCTTCGATTCCCAAACCTCGCAAGTTTACACGGTTTGCATCCTTTGATGACGTCGAAGGGCAATCGCAGAAACGGGAGGATGACGACGAAGGTCGAGCGTTGTCTATGGCATAGATATGTAGCGATGCTCCTAGGAGCATGGGTACCGGTATTTAGACTCCAAGAGGTTTTCGTTCTGCATCGCATCATCCCCCTACTACTACCGTAGTCGGACCTCGGAATCCGCTGCCATGCGACGATGCGACGGCAACATTACGACTGTACTACTAGTACATGTACTAGTACCGTACTGTACATGTATTTTAAAAAATACAGAAGCATGTTTCTTGTGTTTTTAATTAATTGAGTGCCATTTAGGCAAAAGACTTAATAACTTATTGCCGGGTTGGCTTTCTCGAAACAAGCCACAAATTCCCCATTTTCGACCGTTGTCCTTCGCTCTCAAAACGGAAGCTACTTTGCCCATTTCACTTCTTCCTCTTCGGGCAGCCAAAGGGGCCCCTTTGCCATTGAGCGCTCCTCACTGCAACTCAAAGCCTGTGTTGGTGTGCTGCTCAGCGTTCAGCCTGTGTCAGCTTTGTCGAATTCGATATAAGAATGAACCCTGCAAGCATGAAGCCAACCCGTGGCTACGTCGTTACTTCTTTCAAGCCTACCAATTTTGGCAATGAGAACCAACCTCCCACAAAGAACAACAGCCACGAACGTTCGCCAAAGAGCCCAAGTGATCCAAAGGACAGCCCCTTCGCCAAGAAGCCCCGCAAGAATGCGCCGTTGCAAGCCGCTTTGTCCGAACATTTGGGTATGGAAGAAGTATCCAAGCCTGGAGTCGCTTTCCTTTCTCCCAATGAAGCTGATTGGTAACGAGCAGGGACATGCCGCAGCTGTGCCCACCAACCACAACAGCCAATCAGATAGCCATGGAGTTGAACACATTTCTACCGATGCCATCCTCAGAGAGCACGATACTAAGTTAAAACAACTTGAGGTAGAGAAAGTTCGACTTTTTAAAAAGCTGCAACTGCCTGACTGTACAGAACCGCTCGATATTGAAGGCGAAATGGAAGAAATCAGTTGTCTCTTTTACCTTGACAAGCAGGTTTGCTATGTTCATCCGGATCGCCATGAATACAAGCCCACAAGCCTCCACCTTTGGTGAACTACCACACTTCTTCTGCCATGTACCGGTACATTACACTTCATCATGCCGTCCACTCTGACGAAACCTGGGTCCCGTTGAGAGAAGGCAGCCGTGAAGACTTTGGCCTACCAGAAACCATCAACCATGCGGTCGGAATTTCTGATTACATCACTGCAGATGACTTTCTCAATTTTATCGACAAGAGCCATGCGGGCGCCCGACTTAGTCCCAGTTTGATTGGGGCACTTTTCGTATCCAAAGTATCCAAAGGCTCCACATTTTGTGCGATCAACCGGATGAAGCAAAAGAAGAAGAATCCAGGTGCATTGCCTCGATTGATGACCTTTCACGCCTTGTTTCAGCAGAAAGAAGGGATATTTGTGGTGGTGGTATGCAGCCGAGTGGAAAACTGGGATCTGAAGGTAGCCAAAACCTCGTGGATGCTGAATGCTGCTGCGGGCTACCTCGTGGATGGATGCCGAGTTGTCAAAGTCGATGGCCTTCGTAAGCTGGATGATGGTGCTCTGGAACAACAGTTGTACAGCATGTTTGGATGGTTGCAGCTCTTCCGTGTCTATCAAGTGATTGTGAACACGAAAGATGTAGAAGAAGGGAAAGTCTGCCATCAGATTATGCCTGCCGACAATATAACTGGTTAGGTTGTATCATTGGCAAAGAGCATCGAATCAACGGTGAAATCTGGATTCTAACGGCTTGTGGAACCAGCAATACCGCACATGACAGACCAGTACCGGTAGTGGTGTACCGGTATGAGTGAGTAGTCTAAGGGCCGACGAATTAGAGTGGCTTTCTTTGTGTTAGTCGCCTCAACTGAAGTGCCCCTACGAGAAGCGGTACGCCTGATGGTGCCTTGGCAAAGAGTTATGATAAGTCCACCAAGGCTGGGTGAGATTGATTCCTTGGAATGTTCCCACATCACAAAGGAATACAATACTTGATAGAGCCTAGCTACGGTAGCTAGTTCTAGCCATGGTGGTACCTTATTAGAAGGTCGTACCAGGTGTACAGAGGCGCCAATTGACGAGTCATAGTCGAGTGTAGTGGTACCGTTAAGTCTAAAATGCTGCCTAGCTAGCTAGAGTCATGTTCCAAAGTTTAGGCATTGTACATTATTTCGTCTCCTGGAGACGATTTGCTTTAGGGGTAATGGTACCGATGGGGGCAGAGGTTTGAATTATACCCGGCGCGCATTACTTAGAAGGCCCTGTAGAAGTCTACGTATTCGACTA